TCGTGCTAAGAACTTCAATTGACCCAAATGTTTACATTGGCGAGGCGAGTTCAAAAATTGCACCTGAAGGCCAGCATAAGAGTTCTTCATTCACGGCTGAAAAAAATGGTATGAAACTTTCCACCTAATGTATATAAAACATCTATGCATCACTGTGGGACTTGAGATTGTTTAAATTAAACGTATTTTGGCTGAAACATTTGTTGGAGGATTGATTTGTGTCGCTCCGAACCTCTTATCGGTCATGTGAGAAAGGTCATATTACACTTAAATGCTCCGTGAACTTTGCGTTCCCAAAAATTCATTTCATATGTTGCCCAGAGTTTTGAAAGCATATTTTGAAAGCTTAGAGATTGCTTTTTAATGTGGAATGTCTTTTTCTGTTTAAAATCATGTATCGGATGTGATTTTAGGCCTTTGAAATTTGACAATATTTTGCTCGCGTAAAATCTTTAAAATTTTGTAAATATTTAAAAATTCATAAAATATTCCATTTGAAATCAATTCAAGAACATGACCACTCAAAATGTGTATTAAAACCCGTTTAATACGATAAGAAGCTGTTTGGGTTGCATGATACTTGAATTCGATTGAAATCGTGGTCTTTTTGTAGCCCGGTCTAGAGGCCCGAAAAAGCGGTCTGGAGGAGGCCGTCAATCGCCCGAAATTGGCATTCGCCGTATCGCCAAAATATTTATCCAATGAAACTAAAATTTATATTTTCATAACTAGAATACCTAGGGTAGTCTACATAATTTTTTTGGGATATTTCAAAAATTTTATTTTTCCCACCTCTGGTCGATATTTTACAGACATCCGCTCTTAATTCACTGTGTGATGACAAACTTCTGAGTATCGCACATACTATTCTAACGTTAAATTAAGGAATATCAATATTATAGCAAATCGTCACCGTTTGTTAGATTGATTACCTCAGACGCTTGCCACCCGGTTTCAATAAGCGTTCGACTTTTCATGACTTCAGTCCTATTAACGAGATAACTTTAAAAAAAAAGCAACGGCAAATCTTAAAAATTGCTGGCCGTTGGTTGTAATAACCTTCCCTGCTAGCAGAGGTCTCTCACGACGCTTCGACGTCAGAGACCTCTGCTAGCAGAGGAGTAATAACCAGGTGGGCATATCGACGAGAGTGTAAACCAAAGAAATGCATGCATGGACTTTTGTTCGGGCCAGAAAAATGCAGTCGTGATTTTAATCGGAAGTGATCGTGTTAAAGGGATTACGTCACGCGGACATGACTGTTTAAGGTCAATTTTGCTCTGAATTCATTTTCAATCACATATAAAATGCTCCTGTTAGAGTTATGGAGAAAATATCAGACAAATCATCAAGGAGCAATAAACACGATAATAATTTTTTGGTGATTTTTGCAGGCCTTATTAGCATTAATACTTAAAAACGTTGACCCTGAACTTCAAGTTTCAATACATGTCCCTGTTCTTTCCATCCGTAGCGACAGACGACAGGAAACACTTTCAATGCCTAAACATATAAGTGTTAAAAATCAAAACTGGACCATTATTTTTGGAGACGTGTTCTGCCTTTCTCTCAATTCTGTTCAACCTAAAAAAAAAATTGATAGTCCAGATGCTCTATCACCAAGCTACAAGAGACTATTATCAGGAGTCTATATCACAGTGCGCAGAGGAGTTATTTGTGACCTTGATTGTTCATTGTACCCTTGTACCACGCATCGCCAATGTTTTTATACTGTAGAATCCAGCAAACCGTCATTCGATCGTCTTATAAACCTGGTAATATATTTAAGCAATAGACCACACTTTCTATGGGTTTACCGGGGTGATAACCCACGCGGGATGTTGGGAGAACACGAGAAAAGCTTGTAAATCACGAGCCGAAGGCGAGTGATTTACAAGCTTTTCGAGTGTTCTCCCAACATCCCAAGTGGGTTATCACGCCGGTAAACCCATAGAAAGTGTGGTCTATTGCTTTTATAAAATAACTTTTAGTAGAACGGAGCCTTTTAGGTAAAAAATGTGGTTTTGGTACCGTGATCAAGCCATGTATTCTCTCTAAAGTCACCATAAGCCAATCATGACTCACGATTTAAACGCGCCGAACTTGCTCAAAACTCTGTTCAGTCAAACAACAAACAGGAGCACTTCAAAACACGAGTTTTTGCACTCATTACATGATAACTTATGAACGCTGTTTATCAGGAAAAGTCAACACATATTCATGCCAAGGTACAATGAAGTTTGTTTACTACAGAAGTAGAAAACTGAACATCATACTGTACGCAGCTGTATTTTGTTGAGTCGATCCGTAAACATTTCATGCTTACAGACGAAACTGGCAGCTGTTGTAATGGAGGACTTCATTGTCTTTTTACAAGCTACAGTGGTTTAAGATCTGTTTTCTGGACTTCATCATGATCAAGAAATGTTGCGGTAACGACGTTGCTGCATTTGCGAAGTTGTCGTATGTAACGTATGTATGTACAGCGACCGATGGAAATATGTCAGTGGTAGCTCTAAATTTGGAGAAAGGTTTCTTTGCCGTAGCCACATAACAGCGTTAATATTTGTCGATTTGTGAAGTCAGGTAGTTTGAAGTAGGTTATGGCATCGATATTACCGCATAATTTGTGCAAGTGTTGGAAAAAAACCAGCGCGAAACTCTGACACCTTTCATCATCGTTTACAGCTTGTTTACAATCTGCAGCGGCCGATTTTGTACGATAACTTGAACAATTTCTTTCATTCAGGAATTTAATTTTGACATAAAACAAATCAAGAATGCTAAAACTATCCGTTTTGTTGCTGGCTGGCACATGGTTAAGCTTTCCTAAAGACTTTCTACACCAGAAATTCACACAGTTGTTGTCTTTCTCTGCGATTTGGCATCGTCGTGAAATGTGAACTGCTTTCCAGCTTTGTACTTTAAAACTTTTAAAGCTATGGCAGTAGCGAATTGTGATGCTCTGTAATAAAATGTGTAAACCAACACTTTTTAATATTAAGAAGGGCTGGGTAAGTAACTTGTTCTTTTTTTTATTCTTCCTAAATTAAAATCGTTGTTTGCATATCAATAGCCTGTTTTGTTTATGGCTCGTGGTCCGGATGCCTTTTTCTATGGGTTTACCGGTATAATAAACCATAGGTTTTTGACCAATCAGATCGCGCGTACTATCTCAGTTATTTTATAATATGCAATGCTCCGGAAAACCGCTGAAGGTAATAACTACGGACGAATAACAACGACTAACATATAATAAAGTCTATTTTTCTTTCCGTCACTTCGTGCCTCGCTCGGGAAGCCTTTCCGAATGCGTCGTCGTCCTTCGGGCGACGTTCGTTCCCACCGAGCATTAGATAAAATTTTACCAGGTTCGTAACACGATCGCATGACGGTTTGATAGGTCAAGTTCATACTACAGTAAACAGAGACGACTCAGTTCGCTTGCCATCACAAATAACTCCTCTGCATCCTGTGACTATATCTAACTATCTATTAAGCTAGGTCTATAAGGACTGAAGTGTTCTATTTTCGAGTCTCCTTTACTGTCTGCACCTAGTTTCTCTCCCCCCCTCAATACTTGTTCATGACGAGACCCAACCCTCCAACAGACGGGACGCGGTCCATGGGAGGGTATGTGCGCACCCTAATGCCTCGCCTGGAAACCCAGAGACACAGTGTTCAAAAATTTCTACACAGACAATTCGCGTTCCCACTTCAACCATACAAAGGGGCAAGAGTAGCTTATTTAAAATTTCTAATATACAGTAGATATATATGTATATATATATGTAGATATCAACGAATGTAGCATCGGCAGCCATGATTGCCACCAAAATGCAACTTGCATAAATACCCCTGAACACTTTAATTGCAGTTGTCTGCCAGGATTCACGAGAGATGGCCACCAGTGTTATGGTATGACTCACTTCTAGCAGGAAGTGCACTTAAACTTGCAAGAAAGGCAACCCGGCGCAAGATTACGCACATGTCCTGGGAAAACAATGTCCGAGTTTCCTAAAGTTCCAATGATCTCAATATAAATGAAAGAAAGGCAACCCGGCGAAAAATTCACGCAGTGTCACAATACACCTTTTGTTTTACTTCCTAGTAATGGATCGAAAATCGCGGTTTTTTTAAATGCACTTCATTGTTTTTTTCTGTCTCCTAGCAATGCAATAGCAGATAAGCTTTCCAACGGTATGCAACCTGTGTAAATATTGCCAGACACTTTTATTTTTCCTCTCAGCTATAGTTTTCCAAAATACGTCCACTTCATTTCGTAACTTGTATCTCTCTTATTGAGGAAATTTAGTTTAGGTGAACTTCTTTTGTCAATTGTTCTTTTTTACTAATCCTATTCAGATATCGATGATTGCGGCAACGGCAGCCATGATTGCCACCAAAATGCAGCTTGTGCAAATACCGCTGGAAGCTTTAATTGCAGTTGTCAGTCAGGATTTGCAGGAAATGGCCACAAATGTCATGGTATAATATTGCCCGATTTTCAATTGATCTGAAAGTGTATGTCGGTCTTGAATTATGCTTTACATTTTCTTATCCTTCTTTTTAATTAGATATCGATGAATGCAGCAACGGTAGCCATGATTGCCACCAAAATGCAGCTTGCATAAATACACCTGGACAGTTTAATTGCAGCTGTCAGTCAGGATTTGCAGGAAATGGCCGCCAATGTCATGGTATAATATTGCCCGATTTTCAATTGATCTGAAAGTTTATGTCGATCTTGAATTATGTTTTACATTTTTTTACCCTTCGTTTTAATTAGATATCAATGAATGCAGCAACGGTAGCCATGATTGCCACCAAAATGCAACTTGTGCAAATACCCCTGGACGCTTTAATTGCAGCTGTCAGTCAGGATTTGCAGGAAATGGCCGCCAATGTCATGGTATAATATTGTCCGATTTTCAATTGATCTGAAAGTTTATGTCGATCTTGAATTATGTTTTACATTTTTTTACCCTTCGTTTTAATTAGATATCGATGAATGCAGCAACGGTAGCCATGATTGCCACCAAAATGCAACTTGTGCAAATACCCCTGGACGCTTTAATTGCAGCTGTCAGTCAGGATTTGCAGGAAATGGCCGCCAATGTAATGGTATAATGTTGCACGATTTTCAATTGATCTGAAAGTTTATGTCGATCTTGAATTATGTTTTACATTTTTTTACCCTTCTTTTTAATTAGATATCGATGAATGCAGCAACGGTAGCCATGATTGCCACCAAAATGCAACTTGCATAAATATCCCTGGACAGTTTGATTGCAGCTGTCAGTCAGGATTTGCAGGAAATGGCCGCAAATGTCATGGTATAATATTGCCCGATTTTCAATTGATCTGAAAGTTTATGTCGATCTTGAATTATGTTTTACATTTTTTTACCCTTCTTTTTAATGAGATGTCGATGAATGCAGCAACGGTAGCCATGATTGCCACCAAAATGCAACTTGCATAAATACCCCTGGACAGTTTAATTGCAGCTGTCAGTCAGGATTTGCAGGAAATGGCCGCCAATGTCATGGTATAATATTGCACGATTTTCAATTGATCTGAAAGTTTATGTCGATCTTGAATTATGTTTTAAATTTTTTTACCCTTCGTTTTAATTAGATATCAATGAATGCAGCAACGGTAGCCATGATTGCCACCAAAATGCAATTTGTGCAAATACCCCTGGACGCTTTAATTGCAGCTGTCAGTCAGGATTTGCAGGAAATGGCCGCCAATGTCATGGTATAATGTTGCACGATTTTCAATTGATCTGAAAGTTTATGTCGATCTTGAATTATGTTTACATTTTTTTACCCTTCTTTTTAATTAGATATCGATGAATGCAGCAACGGTAGCCATGATTGCCACCAAAATGCAACTTGCATAAATACCCCTGGACAGTTTGATTGCAGCTGTCAGTCAGGATTTGCAGGAAATGGCCGCAAATGTCATGGTATAATATTGCCCGATTTTCAATTGATCTGAAAGTTTATGTCGATCTTGAATTATGTTTTACATTTTTTTACCCTTCTTTTTAATGAGATATCGATGAATGCAGCAACGGTAGCCATGATTGCCACCAAAATGCAACTTGCATAAATACCCCTGGACAGTTTGATTGCAGCTGTCAGTCAGGATTTGCAGGAAATGGCCGCAAATGTCATGGTATAATATTGCCCGATTTTCAATTGATCTGAAAGTTTATGTCGATCTTGAATTATGTTTTACATTTTTTTACCCTTCTTTTTAATTAGATATCGATGAATGCAGCAACGGTAGCCATGATTGCCTCCAAAATGCAACTTGCATAAATACCCCTGGACAGTTTGATTGTAGCTGTCAGTCAGGATTTGCAGGAAATGGCCGCCAATGTCATGGTATAATATTGCCCGATTTTCAGTTGATCTGAAAGTTTATGTCGATCTTGTCGATCTTGAATTACTGTATTTATTCGAATAAGCGCCCAACCTCGAATTACCGCCCACCTCGAATAAGCGTCCATCCTAAAGGCAAAAAAAGTTAATAAGCGTCCAGCCTCGAATAAGCCCTCAACCACTCCTCCTCCCAATCAAACTCAAATAAGCGCTCACCTCCACCCAACCCACTTGAGTGAATAAGTTTTAATAAGAGACTTCCCCGAGGACCAAGTTTTCTTCAGAGTATTTTACAGAAACCTTGCTTTGTTACTGCTTTGCGTTTTGTTATCAGCATTTATCGTTTTGTTGCAAAATAAACATACTTCACTTGCTGAAAATGGTGAAAATTTATTAAGCGCCCAGCCTCGAATAGGCGCCCACTCTCAAGGTCCAAAAATTTAATAAGCGCCCAGGGCGGTTAAGGTGATTCCCTAGTAAAAGAACCTATCATAGATTGTAGATGAAACTTGGTACACTGATGTAACAAGTCAAGAAGATGATAAAAAAGTAATAAAAAGTGGGGGTCACCGTGCTCGTTTTGACGTCACAATGCTGAGAAATACGGTTAATTTGGACCCTTTGTCAAAAACTGCGCGCAGCCCAAAACTAGACAAAAGCGAGAGATTTTTTCGATGATGCATGTGGTATCGCACAGAATTTGACTTTATTGTATTGTTTATCCACTTACATACCAGAAAAATACCTTTTAATGCTCCTTTTTTTATTTTACGCTCCAAAGTAGAATTGAATTGGACACACGCTATTCGACCCGTGATAGCTCAATCCGTACAATTTAGTAAAACTGCCAAAAAAGTGAACATAGATTTGTGCCAATTTTTTTTCTCATCGAAAGCAAGCACTGTCCTTATTAAAATCATGAAATAAAAAATGGGGTCACCGTACTCGTTTTTGCGGTAGAGCTGCAGAAAGTGCGCACCAAATGCATTTTCTCCAAGTTTTGAGAAAGGACTGGGGTGAGTTTCAAAATAGAATGTATGTGAAAGGGGGAAGAAAGTATTAAAAAATCTGTTTTTACAGAATTTACATCGAGATATCACATTTAGGATACAATGTGATAAAGAAAGCGTTTAAATAAAAATCAAAGTGAGTAAGCACAAGTTAAACATCCACTATCGAGGTTCTCCGTGAGGAAGTCGAACTCAGCAACACGCGTACTGCCTACGTTATGCACATTCCCAACACATTGAGTCTCACCTCGGCAAGAAACAACCGCAAGCAAAAATTCCAATAGCGTTTCTCTTCAGTCAACTTCATTTTAATAATGTTACTTCACATGCTCTTTTTTACGGCGGCCATCTTGTTATGCGCAGTAAGAGATGCGCAGTGCAAAACCAGGGAATCACCTTAATCGAAAAAATACGGTATGTTTTACACTTTTTTACCCTTCTTTTTAATTAGATATCGATGAATGCAGCAACGGTAGCCATGATTGCCACCAAAATGCAACTTGCATAAATACCCCTGGACAGTTTAATTGCAGCTGTCAGTCAGGATTTGCAGGAAATGGCCGCCAATGTCATGGTATAATATGGCCCGATTTTCAATTGATCTGAAAGTTTATGTCGATCTTGAATTATGTTTTACATTTTTTTACCCTTCTTTTTAATTAGATATCGATGAATGCAGCAACGGTAGCCATGATTGCCACCAAAATACAACTTGCATAAATACCCCTGGACAGTTTAATTGCAGCTGTCAGTCAGGATTTGCAGGAAATGGCCGCCAATGTCATGGTATAATATTGCCCGATTTTCAATTGATCTGAAAGTTTATGTCGATCTTGAATTATGTTTTACATTTTTTTTACCCTTCTTTTTAATTAGATATCGATGAATGCAGCAACGGTAGCCATGATTGCCACCAAAATGCAACTTGCATAAATACCCCTGGACAGTTTAATTGCAGCTGTCAGTCAGGATTTGCAGGAAATGGCCGCCAATGTCATGGTATAATATGGCCCGATTTTCAATTGATCTGAAAGTTTATGTCGATCTTGAATTATGTTTTACATTTTTTTACCCTTCTTTTTAATTAGATATCGATGAATGCAGCAACGGTAGCCATGATTGCCACCAAAATGCAACTTGCATAAATACCGTATTTATTCGATTAACCGCCCTGGGCGCTTATTAAATTTTTGGACCTTGAGAGTGGGCGCTTATTCGAGGTGGGCGCTTGTTCGAGGCTGGGCGCTTATTAAATTCTCAACATTTTCAGCAAGTGTAGTATGTGTATTTTGCAACAAAACAATAAATGGTAATAACAAAACGCGAAGATGTAACAAAGCAAGGTTCCTGTAAAATACTTCGAAGAAAACTCTGTCTTCGGGGAAGTCTCTTATTCAATTTTAGGGGTGGTCGCTAATTTGAGTTTGAGTGGGAGTGGGAGGAAGGGGTGGTGGGGTGGGCGCTTATTCGAGGCTGGGCGCTTATTAACTTTTTCTGCCTTTAGGATGGGCGCTTATTCGAGGTGGGCGCTAATTCGAAGTTGGGCGCTTATTCGAATAAATACGGTACCCCTGGACAGTTTAATTGCAGCTGTCAGTCAGGATTTGCAAGAAAAGGCCGCCAATGTCATGGTAAAATATTGCCCGATTTTCAATTGATCTGAAAGTTTATGTCGATCTTGAATTATGTTTTACATTTTTTTACCTTTCTTTTTAATTAGATATCGATGAATGCAGCAACGGTAGCCATGATTGCCACCAAAATGCAACTTGCATAAATACCCCTGGACAGTTTAATTGCAGCTGTCAGTCAGGATTTGCAGGAAATGGCCGCCAATGTCATGGTATAATATTGCCCGATTTTCAATTGATCTGAAAGTTTATGTCGATCTTCAATTATGTTTTACATTTTTTTACCTTGTTTTTAATGAGATATCGATGAATGCAGCAACGGTAGCCATGATTGCCACCAAAATGCAACTTGCATAAATACCCCTGGACAGTTTAATTGCAGCTGTCAGTCAGTATTTGCAGGAAATGGCCGCCAATGTCATGGTATAATATTGACCGATTTTTAATTGATCTGAAAGTTTATGTCGATCTTGAATTACTGTATTTATTCGAATAAGCGCCCAACCTCGAATTACTGCCCACCTCGAATAAGCGTCCATCCTAAAGGCAAAAAAAGTTAATAAGCGCCCAGCCTCGAATAAGCGCCCACCCCCTCCTCCTCCCAATGAAACTCAAATAAATGCTCACCTCCACCCCATCCACTTGAGTGAATAAGTTCTAATAAGAGAGTTGTCCGAGGACCAAGTTTTCTTCAGAGTATTTTACAGAAACCTTGCTTTGTTACTTCTTCGCGTTTTGTTATTAGCATTTATCGTTTTGTTGCAAAATAAACATACTTCACTTGCTGAAAATGGTGAAAAATTATTAAGCGCCCAGCCTCGAATAAGCGCCCACTCTCAAGGTCCAAAAATTTAATAAGCGCCCAGGGCGGTTAATCGAATAAATACGGTATGTTTTACATTTTTTTACCCTTCTTTTTAATTAGATATCGAAGAATGCAGCAACGGTAGCCATGATTGCCACCAAAATGCAACTTGCATAAATACCCCTGGACGCTTTAATTGCAGCTGTCAGTCAGGATTTGCAGGAAATGGCCGCCAATGTCATGGTATAATATTGTCCGATTTTCAATTGATCTGAAAGTTTATGTCGATCTTGAATTATGTTTTACATTTTTTTACCCTTCTTTTTAATTAGATATCGATGAATGCAGCAACGGTAGCCATGATTGCCACCAAAATGCAACTTGTGCAAATACCCCTGGACGCTTTAATTGCAGCTGTCAATCAGGATTTGCAGGAAATGGTCACCAATGTCATGGTATAATATTGCCCGATTTTCAATTGATCTGAAAGTTTATGTCGATCTTCAATTATGTTTTACATTTTTTTACCTTTCTTTTTAATTAGATATCGATGAATGCAACAACGGTAGCCATGATTGCCACCAAAATGCAACTTGCATAAATACCCCTGGACAGTTTAATTGCAGCTGTCAGTCAGGATTCACGGGAGATGGTCACCATTGTTATGGTATGACTCACTTCTAAAGGGAATTGCACTTAAATTTGGAATGGGTGATAAATCGTAAAACCGGCGACCAGCGCCATGAATGCAAACAAAGCCAATGAGCCACAATCGCCACAAACATGTCTTGTGTTTATACTCAGCTGGAAAGAAATTCGTATAAGGCCAGAAGTTACACTGCACTGTCATGATAACAATAATATTTTACTTTTTTGTATTGGATCGGGAATCTAATTCTTTAATCTTTAATGTCTCGTAGCAATAGCAGCCCTGCTTGTTACCAGCAAGGAATTTGTGTTAATATTGCTATGTAGGCACCTGTCAACCAGTTATCTCCCGAAAAGGCAGTTAGTGACGTTTCGTAATTTGCTTCTTCCTTAGCAAGAAAATAAACTATACTTGAACTTCCACCAATTGCTTTTGCTTTATGGTCTGAATATATACGACAGGGTGGATCGAATTTTGAAATTTCGACTTAAGAAGAGATAAAATTATAGTTTATGTTATAGAAAGTAAAAAGAAACAATCGCATCTTCATGAGAGACGTTCTACTAAGCCCTTCTTCCTCAAATATCTTGGAATTACCGCGCCACTCCTTCTAAGCCATAACACAAACAGTTACTGACAAGAATCAGATTCGTAGTTCCTGAGGACTCGCAGCAGCTAACCACAAAATTCAAAATTTAAAAATACGCAGATCAATTCTTCCATCACGATTTTTTCGATTTATACGAGTTTTACGTAAAATGGATATACATCTAATTAACTGATTACTAAATGGCGGACCCTAGATGGTGGATGGTTCCAGATCTTTATTTATAATAAATGACGTCATCGTGATTGCACTGTGAAGTTATTAAACCGAGAAAACAGCGAAACTGTTAGCTCGACTGAAGCGGTTGCTGCACACATGCGGAGCCTAATGTAGTAAGATCGAAAGAGTTTTCCTAAACGAGAACGCATCGAAGTGGGAGGAAAGGGAACAATGTTCGAGCAGCGTTCTTTCAAGAAATTTGTCATGCTGTGTGAACTGCGTTAAGAAAATGTCGTCACAAAGCAATTGTCTTGTGCTCTTGGTAATCAGGCCACAGAAACATATCGTTATAATGACGGACAAAAATTAATGGTTTTTGAGCGCAAAAAAAGACCACTTTCCTTAACCGTATGAAGCTATAATTTGCAAACCATGTACTACAAGTACTAAACTGCCAATCTAGCATTAAAAAAAATGATAGTCAAGGATTTGATCGTAGTAGCACTTTAAGGCGGACAGTAATCCATAAAATAAACGACACTACTCCTCAACGCAGGTACTATCAGCGTGGGCTTTTTAACCTTGAACAACCTTGGACTGTGAGCTAATTATTAAGAAACTATAAACTAATTAATATTAAGAAACCCGGCCATACACAAGATAAACCTTAAGAATAACAATTTTTTGTAAACAAATCATGTACTAAGTTAACCTGACTGCACAGTTGGCTTTCAAAGAATAGACAGAAGCGTTCCGTCCGTTCTCTAAGAACGGCTGAGTAAGGAATGAAATATAAAGACGAGGCAATGGATTATAAACAACTTGTCCAGGTTTTGTCCGATATGCCTCTGACAAGAATTGCCGCCGTGACAGCGATCCTTTAATTATGTTTGAGCGGATTAACTTTAATAGACTTCAGTTTTCATGTTTTATTCAGTCCAAATGTAGTTCATGTGATGTTACCCAAGAGAACCGTTTCTTTCAAATTTCGGCATTACATTTAGCTGCACATGTACGCATAATTAAAAAAGACAAAGGGAAAGGGGAAAATTTCTTTGATAACTGATCACATGACACATTTGGGAAACAAAGGCATACAAGCAGTTGTGCTTTAGTTGGTTGAACATGAAAGTTTGCTAAATGCAGTGCTCACCTTTAATGAAAGTACATTAAGATGTATTATACTTTGGATTTATTATGCCACACATACTTCCTCTTTCAGACCTCTGTTAATGGAAAAAGTCGGTAAAATCTTAACCATCTCAAGACCGTCATCCACGCGCACTTTTAGGATTCCACATTATAACGCCGAGTTAAACCACATTTAATTGTATTTCTCTCGTACTTTGTGGGACCCGAGATCACCCTATGTCACCCGACACATATACAGCAGTGGTAATTCTTCAAATTTGGTCGCAAATTGTCTTTGGTCAAACAAACATTTACAAAAATCACAACGAAAGTTTGGAAAGAGTTTTGCTGTTCCAGAAACCGGCAAAAAGTGAAATGTAGCGTTTACGTCACAGCTGCGAAAATAATGATTATAAATTTGCCAAAACTCTGGCATTTTCAAAGTGTTCAGGAAAGAAACCGGCTTAAGGAAACTTATTTATTTCAGTGCTGAATTGCTCTTATTTGTTTTCTTTTCCAGATTGTTCCAGTTATCACTTTGAAAAATACCAAGATTTACCAACCAGAGGAGCTCACGCCGTGGAACATTTCACCATTAATGGAAGTCTTTTTCTAGCTTTCGCCAACTATAAAAGTGAAACCACCGAAAAATATAACACAGATTCTTTTATCTACAAGTTCAACGATTTGACTGGAAAATTCTTTCTTTACCAGACCATAGGCACACATGGAGGGCATGACGTGGAATATTTTACAATTTCTGGCGAACATTATCTTGCTGTTGCTAATGTTGAAAATGGAAGTACGTTCAGATTGAACTCAGTTATTTATCATTGGAATGGAACGTTGTTTGTTGCCTTTCAAAACCTTGCAACTAAAGGAGGAGCCAGCTTTAATTTTTTTACAATAGCGAAAGAACCTTTTCTTACCGTATGCAATCTCTTTGATGATGTTACGAAAAGTATCAACTCAACCATCTACAAGTGGAAAAACAACACGTTTGAAAAGTTTCAGGAGATAGCGACAGAGGGATGTCGTGGAAGTGCTGCGTTTGTAATTAACAATGAAAGCTACATTGCCTTTGCAAACGAGCTCACGTCGGCAACATCAGTAGTTTATAAGAGGGCTGGGATGCACTTCGTCAAGCTGCAAGACCTTCAAAAGCAAAGTGCATGGAATGTAAAGTCCTTTTACATTAATGATGATGCGTTTCTCGCCACTGCCTCTCGACCCGCACAGTCGTTCATTCGCAAGTGGAATGGAAGTCAGTTTGTCCTAAATCAGACTGTTCCTACTTACCGGGCCAGGGTCCTGCATCCCTTTGTTATGTGCGGTCAAACATTTCTTGGTGCGGCTAATCGGCTTAGGGGTGGCACCTACCACACAAAGTCAGTGGTGTATCGGTTCTCTCAGGACCAGTTCACTGAATACCAGAAGATTTCAACTTTTGGAGCTATTGATATGACGTCATTTGAGCACAAGGGTTATACTTACTTGGCAATTGCTAATTCAGGAAATGAGAACCAAAAGAACATTAACAGCACTCTGTACAGGTGGACCTAAAAAGATTGCGTATTCATTAATTAGAGAGGCCTGGGACTGAGGGGTTTACCTGTGGAAAATGAATTATTGACTATAACTTTCGCATAGATGATGGCGCTGAATTAAAATTTGGCACACATGAAGAACTCATTGTCCTTAACATTTTAAAGCATAAATATTGTGTTGATAAGTCACCTGATATGTCACGTGATCATTTTGTTAAAAATCGTAAATTATTGACCAATTGGTGGCCGGTTTAAGAAAAGGAATCAAGCAATAACATTTTTCTAATTGATATTAAATATCTCTAACACTTCACGTTTGGAATGACCGTCCATTGCACTTCAATAAAAAAATTATGAGGGAAAGCGTCATTTTAAATGCCCAAATTTAATTCTGAATTATTGAAAACTTTAATTTTAAACTTCCTGTACATTCAATCTAAACGTATAACATTAGGTATGTTTATCCTCTTTCAGAAATACCAATTTGTTTACTTAAACAAAGTAAATTAGCCACCAATTCGCCAATTTCCTTCATTTTCAATTTTTGGTCACGCGACCTGTCACGTGATCATAATTAAACGTTACGGCACAAGAAAACCTCAAGGTTTACTTTTGGGGAAAATTCATTTTGTTCTCGGTCTCCTAGCGAGAGATATGTAAGGAGAGATTTCCCATGAATTCTTTACTTGCCTCGAATTTCTTATCTAGCTTTTAAATACTCCCTTTGAAGTTGTGTTAGCCGTAATTAACATTGAATTGGCATTGAGTTGTTTAGTTCCCTTAAATTATACACATTTTACTTCAATGTTTACATTTAAAAGGATAATTTGTTTCTGAATAGATATACAGCTTAGTCACTGAATAACTAGACCTTTCACCAGTTCAAATACCAACCGTTCGTAGTTTTTACTTTTGACATTTAAGGGAATCCTGAGCAAAGGAAACTCGAATTCTTTTATACAGCTTTCTTTGTAAATTCCCTAAATTCACTTGTTTGACTGACATTTAATTTTAACTTATTTAGTTTAACATATGAACTTTAAAACTGAAGTTATCCAGATTTGTTGTCGGTGTTCAGCTGATTTTATTCTGCCTTCTTTCCAGTTGTTTTGTGATGTTGTAATACGTTGATCGGTTAGTATGAATAGCGCACTGTTATTCCCGTTTTTCGATTTACATTGCGAAGTTATATGCTTGTACGATCAGTTACATTGCGGAGTTATATGCTTGTACGATCAGTTACATTGCGGAGTTATATTCTTGTACGATTTACATTGCGGAGTTATATGCTTGTACGATTTACATTGCGGATTTAACCTTTAAATGGATTTACGATTTACATTCCGGAATCATTAGTGCTTGTACGATTTACATTGGGGATTTACTTGACTGTATTATTTACGTTCACGAGTTGAAGATTAAACTGTTGAAGTCCAAGTTTGAGTCCTGTCCTGTTTCCAGTTGTAGCAGATCCTAGTACCTCGGAATAGTGACGAGTTCCTTTCCCGCTAGCCACGCGAGTTGCAGAGTTAGTTTTCCCCCTTGTTGTTCATACGCCGAAGTCACTCGAGTTCTCTTTTCGCTTATTTCCCCGATTTGTGCTTGGAAGGGCAAAACCTATCGTCACAGATATTGCCAATCATTCATATGTCGTTGTTGCGTTTGAGTAATTCTAGCATATAATCGGGACACACCCCGTTCAAACGTTTATAAACTAATGCGCACTGATTAATCTTAGCTTCAAGAAGAAAAGTTAGCCAATTGAGTTCTCTAAACAGATGTACACTATTTGCTCTAGTATCAGCATTGAGAATAACGCGTGGGGCCCGCTTCTGTAGTCTGAAGACCTTATTTAAATTGTCAACGGATGTAGAACCCACACACTAGAGCCATACATCATGGTTTGTTTTATCATGGCATTGTAATAAAGAATTCGTTGATCTAAAGGTAAATGACGCCTCATTTTTTTTCAAAACAGCAATCGCTGTGTTAGCTTCTTACATAGATTATCAATATGCTCAGTAAAATTAAGCTGAGTGTCAACAGTTTATGAGACTGGACTTGTTCGAGTTCGACCGAGTTTACATGGACAGTGAGCTGCTCATCTTCTTATGTAGACGTTTGCCAGCTACTAATATAGTTTTTGTTTTGGACTCGTTAAGTTCCATTTTATTTTCTGTGGTCCATTGTGCAACTTTACCAACATCAGCTTAAAGAACTTGAATTAAGGTTCCAGGTGCTGATCTACATTCAACATTGGCACTTATAGTGGTATCATCGGCATATATGTCTGCTGCTGAATGTTTTAGTATCTTTGGTAGATCGTTTATAGCGGAGCTCTCGCGCGCGAAGCGCGCGCCAGCGGAGCACCACGAGTAAGTAAATCTATCCATCCCAGAAAATTTGGTAACCACGTGACCGTACACCGAACGACCGTCCGTCCGCACCACAGGCATACCAATGAAAAATTTGGGATAGTTTGTGAGTGCAGTGAGAGTTTTGGATCCTAGGAACAAGGTTGTTTTTTTGGCGCGAAAACGAATGGTCACCCCTTGTTGTGAAGCATAGGTTCTTAGTCACTAGTTTGTACTGTATTGAAAATGTTGGACTTTGCAGAAATAGCCAAATTAAGACAAAAATGTCCCCAATAAATGCTAAAAAACACCTTTTTCTATTCCAATATTATGTCATTTTACCACATAAGGTCAAGAGAACGCGCAAAATACGAGGCCGTAACCAGTTTAACCAGTTTACAACAGGGCGAATACCAGTGGATGCAAAAGGAGCATTCGCACTCAATGAGGATGTTTTGGATACTCTTACCAGAAAATAGAAGCCAAAATAGCATTTTAGTAATTATAATACGCACAAACATTTAGCTCATTGGTATTGTTACTCTCATAGAGGTGAGGTGAGGTGTAGCTTGTTACATACTGCGAATGATTTACTTCACCCCGGCCAGTTTACAGCGCAAGCAATGAAGCAAGAGATACTCATTGAAAACATTTGCAATTTAGTTATGTGACATTAACAAGTTGTTCAGATTTGCATTTCAATTTTCGGTTTATCGAGTCCGCACACTTTTTTTGTTCCCTTGTATGTATATTTAGGTTGCTTATAATTTCTGAATATTTGCCTAAAATTAAAATTTTCCTGGCTTTTAGTAGAAGCAACGCTTTCGTGGAGAAATTAACCAAAGTATTAAAAGACAAACACTTTCCTCTTACATATTGATAGGCTGAATTTCATTTACCCATTTCAGACCAAGGCAATTATACTGAGATACGAAAATTGTAATCATGCAGGATACTTGATTAAAATTTAGTTCGCATAAGACCACTCAACGATCGCTAGAATTCTGCTTAGCCAGCGTGTTATACTCCTTAACATTGGCCTCTAGTCGTATTTGAGCCTTGAGAGTAAAAACCTTAATTGTTTAGATTCAGAGTGGTCCTCTTAATTGTCCAACCTCGACTTAATTTAATGTTTCGCTATAAAGTTTGCGATTCAAGTGAATTATTCTCTTTCGCCGTATTTCTCCTTTATAGCGACCACAACACATGTTTGTTGCCCCATGATGTGATGTTACATGAAGAAGAACGACTTCCGCGAGACAAAGGTAAATAACTATTCTCGTTCCAACGCGTTGTCTATCTCAGAAACCATGAAAAGGTCCAATGATTTTGTTATTTTCTTTTTTTAAATGGGGGAAATCTTGAAAAAGATAACCTTGGGCTACAAAAGGTACGTTTCAAAATCTTAGAGTTATTCTTTTCAGTGGTAAATCCAAGATATGCCGGAGTTAATTTTCCCCTTTTTACAGGATGTTTATTTTGCATAATGGCAACATGCCAAAATATGTAAGATCGCTGCCTAAACATTTGTTAAATTTCTGTTAAAAGATAATGTGTAATCTAATTTCCGTTCCTTTTTTCTATTGCGGTATAATTATGACTTAAACTTCTACTTTTAGGCTAAAAAAAATTGATTATTGCAGGTCAATTACTGATAATTACCGATCTGTTTATATATTTGCGTGACATACAGGACATTTGGCTAGACTGTGGATATATACTACCGGTATGAGAAGTGAAAATATGGAAAAAACCACTGCAAAAAAACCTCCTTGATCTATGAGCGTTTTACATCAGGTATAAATGTCGTTCATTTCTATGGCCAATACAACTAATATAAGCACTGAAAACTACGGTTACACGGTTGGTTTTCCCTCAACATACCACTCACCACATGATTACTTCCTGATATCTCTGTATAGAGCTCTGTAATAAAACGAAGAATAGCCTTCGTCTTAACTTCGTCGGACAGGCTGATAGCCTGAAAAATTAACTTAAACTTTCTTGGTCAGAACTAATTTTCGGAAGTAGTACAGTCATTTCATCACGCAGTCAAGAGTATACAAAACGTCATGGTGAACTCAACCTATGATATGCTCATTTTATACATTGCATTGAAATCAAACATTAGTTTAGTCACCAAAAAAGATTCAAATTTAGGGTATTTTCACTATGTCAATTCAACGTGCCATTGCTCATCGGTTTTTTCTCGAAGTAGAGGTCCGTCTACATTCCACAACGTTTTGAGTCATCCTACTCCGGTAAAAGATTGAAAGTCTTTGGGGTTTCAAATATAAGTTAACTAATAATATACATGAAAAAAATTCTCGATTGTGATTGGCTAAGAGAAATGCAGTGTTTAGGTAACACGGTGCAGAAAAAAGGTAATTTAGTGCAGAAAAGAGTAACAAACGTGACATTCTGATTGGCTAATAAACAAAGCAACTCACTGGGAGCCAATCAAATGCCCCATCTAAATGGCGCAAAATTTGGATCCGCTCCGGACCAGTTTCGAGCAAAAACCGCAATGGTTGGCGTTCGCAGCACATTTGCTTTTGCGACCGAAACAACTGTAGAGGAGCTGAAGAACTGCTCTAAAATCGAA